TTACTTTGGGTGGCCTTGCTGGTATTTGAAATATCAGTGACATAGTTTTCAGTATCATGACAACACAAGCCACCGCAGTATGATGAACTGACGACAGACAAGTGGTGGAACATGTAACCAGTACTTTAAAAATCCCGTGTGTTTTCTGCCATACACAAACTTGGTAGCTGCCATTGAGTCAATGCCAGTCCTCTTGCGTGCGTAGTAGAACTGCCTAGTGAAGGCTGGACTCTTTTGGAAGCAAATTACCAGGCTTGTATTGTGAGGTGTTTGTGAATGAGTTCAAACTGCCAAACTTTTGGATAATAATTTGACCCTTAATTATGTTTGTCACCCAGGGACTCCCATCTCATAAACGATCATCTCCTTGCTTTTCATAATAGTTTTATCAACTTTAAATAGATCACTGACCAATATTAAGTGTGTATATGTACACATATGCCCGCATACACACACAGCATGTATGGGAGCTTGAGTCTCCTTCCCACCTCCCAACATAGTAGGTTGTGTGTTGGACTACTAACCACAAGGCCAACAGTTCCAGAACACCTTGGAAGAAAGGTGAGGCTTTCTACCTCAGTAAAGAATATGAGTCTTACAGAGGGCAGGGGCAGGTCTACTCTCTCCTATAGGGTCTCCGTAAGCCAGAATCGACATGATGGCAGTGGGGGGAAAATATATATATATGTGTGTGTGTGTATGTATATGCATATATACATACACATCCCTATAGAAGGAGGTCCCTGAAAAAACCTGGAATTATGCAGGATAGAGCAGACCTTTCATAGTATACATTTTTCCTGCTAGGCAAGCATCAAGCAACTCGCTCTGAGTTAGTGCACCAAGTGGTGTCGCCTGGGAAGGTTCTCTTTGGTCACAGTGAATTTTGTTGTGAAAGCAGTTTTGCTCGAATCTCGTTTTTTTGTGATGGTTTTGTGATGGCCAATTTAAGAGAACAGCATGCAGCTGTAAAATTTTGTTTCCTGCTTGGGAGGAAATGCTACAGAATATGTTGTGATGTTGAACACAGCTTACAAGGACAGCGCTATGGGAAAACTCAAGTGTATGAGTATTTTCCTCATTTCAAAAAAGGTGAAATGTTGATTGATGACAAACCTCATTCTGGATGTCTGTCAACATCCTGAACAGACCAAAAAAAAATGTCGACTCGCAGTGCATTTGGAGTTCATCCCACCAGGTCAGACTGTTAATCAAGCCTTCTATTTAGAAGTTCTGAAATGATTGCATCACAGTGTGTGGCACAAAAAGGACCGATTTGTGGCAGACTGGGGACAGGTTTTGCCACCAAGACAATGCACCTGCTCACGCGGCCATCTCAGTGCTACAGTTTTGGGCAACAAACAGCATGCCTCTCTTGCCCCACACGCCTTAATTACCTGTGACCTCATTCTGTGCGACTTCTTTTTGTTTCCACAAATGAAGAGGGACATGAAAGGAGTGATTTGATGACATAGAAAAGGTGAAGAAAACAATGAGGGAGGTGCTTTCAGCCATCCAAACAGATGAGTTTGAAAAATGTTTCCTCCAAGAATGGAATTGCAGATTTGACAAATGTATTAAGTGTAATGGCATGGCAAGTACTTTGAAGATGTTAAGGTTGTTTGGAAAAAAATTAAATACATAGCTTTGAAAAAAAATCTGGTTTGGGGATATATATATATTGGGATATATATATATATGTATATGTATATATTCTCCTTTATATAGTTGAGGTATCAGCTATGGCCTCAGCCTCACAGAGCCTGAACAAAACCCCTTCTGAATTGGGCAGTGGAGCGAGTCCCTGTTTCCTAGGAGTACCACCGTTAGGACATCTGGCAGGACTTGAAGGAATATATTTTCCACTTCTAAGATTATGTTAGGACTCTTGGTGGCACTTTCCGGTAAACCTTGGACTGTGAACCACAGTTCTCAGTTCAAATACACCAGTTGCCCGCTCCCATAAATATTTACAGAGCTTCAGAAATACCGTATAGGGTTGCTGTGAACCAGAAATGACTCAGTGGCCATGATGAAGTTGGTACATTCATTTTACTGTCTCCAACTCGCCGGAGTGTGTCAAAGTGTGTTTACGACTAGAAAGATGAGTGTCAGCTGGTCCGGCAGCAGTGCATGGAAAGGGAGCAGGGGTTTGATCACCACATGGTCCAGACAAGCCAAGTACTGATTAGGATCTATACCAGGTGCACCTGAACTCAAGGAGACAGTCTGTTAGCAACAAGGTGTTTGGTAATGGCAGCTTTCCAAGGGTCTGCCTCTTGAGCCCCACACCTCCAGTTTGCACTGGATACCTCTCAAAGAGGTGTGCAGAGCTTTCATCCAGGGACCCCCCCTTTATTGACCATCATGAGGTTCCCCTTCATCTCTCACATAGGTTGCATCTCTTGATTTCCTACATTTCAAGTCTCTCTGAGTCTTTGATTACATTTTTGTTTTAGTTAAAAGGTGTATGAAAGGCAACATTGAGACCTTGCAGTATAAAGGTACTTCTCTACTACGGTATCTTTACACTTGATTGAGCACCTGAAAATAATTTTCATTGAGAAATGTATGGGCATTCATTCCTTTTGATTTCATTATTGCTGTTGAGTTTGTTTGAAGCTAATCTAATTTTGATATCCTAATGCGACCTGACATTTTCCCGTATAAAAGTTTTGTAAATTTGGCTTTGTCCCCATTGTTCGAGGTTCACAGATCTGTGACTCAGTGAGTGCATGTTTTCCCCCATAATCCTGGCTTCTAGTTGGGCCTGCTATGGTGGAATGCCATATCCTCCCCACCATACCCAGAAGGAAAAAAATCCAGTTTTATGTCAACTACTCCACAAAGCAAAAACCAAGCTCATTGCCAGAGAGTTGATGCTGACTCATAGTAACCCTGTAGGACAGGGTAGAACTGCACCTGCACCTGGGCACCAGACTAACTGTTTATGGGAGTAGGAAGCCTCCTCTTTTCCCCAAGGAATAGCTGGTGATTTCAAACAGCTGGCCTTGCAGGTCACAGCCCAGCACATAATCCACCAGAGATCCTGGTGTTAAATACTTGTCGCCATGTCAAACTTAAAGGCTTTGATTATACAACTTTTTCAGGAGATGAGGCCTTTGCTACATTGAGAGTATAAATGTCAAAATTCTGGCAACTTGTTAAGAGCTGCCGGGCCTGCCAGAAGGTCATCTTCATGATGTTTACAGAGTATCTTCTGTACCCTGTTTAATCTCTGTTGACTTTTGAAAAGTGTATCACTTTCTAGGAAGGAAACAAAAAGCACCATCCCCATAATGATTGTTATGTCGCAGCCACCATATCAGTTCATTTCCCTGAGGGTCTTCTTCTTGTGCCCCCAGTCCTTTACTTTACTGCTCATGATGTTTTCCTCTGGGGGTTGGTCTCCCCTGATAACATGTCTAAAGACAAAGTCTCCTTAGGGAGCATCCTGGCTCTGTTTCTTCTGACAAATCGATACACAGCACAGCTGTGGGTATTTGGGGGTGGGGTGGGGTGCAGGGCAATGGACTAACCCTGTCCCCTTCAACCAACAGGAGAGTAAACTTGATGACTTTACCTCCTCCTGAGCCCAAACACTGAGGCCAGCAGGTATGCATGATCGGTCTCAAATGGCTCCCCTTTCTGACATCTGAGTAGCCTTCAAAAAGTTCATGGAAAAATTCCATAATCTTTTAGTCCCATTTTCCCATGGCCTTTTGGAAGCGCCCGGGCACTCTTCCAAAGGAAGGTGCTCTGGGGCCCAGTGAGCTAACCTAATTGCAGGGTTGGTGTGGCAGCATGCTTCAGTAAAGATCTACAGTCTCTGAGAACCTACGACACAACCCGACTCTGTCCTGTAAGGTCCTCATGATGGCAGTGGGCTTAAGTGTTTGCTTTGGTTGTACCCAATCCATCTTTGCGTTTTTTTCCTTAATCTAAGGATGTTTCCTGCGTTCTGTTCGGAACCAGTGTTGCTTGTATTGTAGATTGCCTTCAGCTTTTCTCAGAAACTACCTCCACCCCGTTTCTTGGTGACTTCTTCATTACATTGTGTTTGGGCATTCTCATCCTTTCAGCATCAACTCACTTCATACCTAAAGCGTGGTAAATGCCTCTAGATTTTTAAGTATGTTAGTAAAAATAGTACTGTTTTCTAGTATGTATCACTTACTATGCCAGGTACTTTAGAAAGACTGCTCAGATATGCTCGCTTGAATGTGCAGTCAGGAAGTTGTAGTCTGTGGACCTTACTGTGCGATCCTATGCTGTCTTAAAGGGTCAGAGATACCCATTGAAGCCTTTTTTGTTTCTTCCTGGTCTTTACTTTCCAAGTGCGTTGTCTTTGAACTCAGGTCTTAGGCTTCAGGGATCCAAGTTTCGTAAGAAAGCGTAGGCACTCTGCTGTGAGGACAAAGGTTAACCAGCTGCTGATGGATGTTTCCTAAACTCACTTGACCTAGACTCACCTAGAATATCATTAGATGTGTAGATTACTCTGCCCTTCTCTGTGTCAACTCCAAACATCATTGCTGTTTAGAAATTGGCTACATAAATATTTTTAACCAGAATGTTGACTGATTCTTATAGTTGTACAAACTTTGGCTTTGTGTGTAAAATACGGACTTTCAAGTCAGAGACCTCAGTTGAGAAGTCTAATTTTGCTATTTATTAGCTTTCTTGCCTTGGGAAAGTCACAAACTAAGTCATGTTTCCTCATTTCTTAAGTGGGATTACTAATTCATAAGGTCGATATCTTAAAGGATACATGAGAAGCATACTGCACAATACCTGGACATCATCCGTCTCTCTTATCTGTGGACCTCTGGTCATTCCCTTCTTTTATCCCAACCTCGGCTTTGTCTCTTCTCCCTCCAGCTCCAGAAGATTTTAAATTAAATTTGTCCATTAATGAAAATATATTATATGCATTATTCTGAAATTGAGTTTAGAAAATTAAATGAATAACAACAATATATTTATTTTTTATCTTTCAGAATCATGGTTTCATGGAAAGGAATTTACTTCATACTCACTCTTTTTTGGGGAAGTTTTTTTGGAAGCATTTTCATGCTGGGTCCCTTTTTACCTTTGATGTTTCTAAACCTATCTTGGTATCGCTGGATCAACAACCGCCTTGTGGCCACCTGGCTCACGCTACCTGTGGTAAGTTCTAGACCAGAAAAGGAGGCTGTCTACTTGTATTACAGTGGCCCAACTTATTTTATTAGAGTCAGATTTGGGTTGTAGAAGAAACATAAGCCTTTCACGTTATGTAAGAGATACTTTAGAATTACAAGAGAAAAAAAAAAAGCTAGTGATAAATAAAATGATTCATGCCCTCGGAATAAAATACATAATTAAGAGTCTGATAATTCAATTAAGAAGTTTTTCTCCCCATATTCTTTATGAATATTTTTTATCTTCCTTCATTGATGTCTGTTTTACAGCTAGTACAGTGTAAGGTACACATTTAAAGATTCTTCCCCCTTCCCCAACTTTTATTGTGAATTAGGTGAGAGCAGATCATTAATTTTGTATTGGATAACTTTATCAAACTTTCCAGGGTCTTGCCCTCTTTCCATCAATTTTTGTCTCTCTCCTTGGATATTGCCTTCTTTATCCAAGTTAAAACTGTCTACCCTGAAGAATTCTTGTACAGATTGAGGACTATTTACATCATTTATTTTGTGTTTCTCTTTCCTTATTTTTGCAAATAATGATGAAAAGTATGATTCAGATAATAAACTTTGGAAAAATAATAGTGATACATTTAATACTTTGGGGCGATCACAAAATGTAGTGATGAAAATGGTTACCTACTTGTGGATTAGGCTAACAACATCTGTAAGGTAAAAGTGCATGTGTTAGGAGTAATACTTTCTTAGAACATCAGATTTTCTCAGTAAAGACCAGTGCACACAAATCTGAATACATATTCCCTGATCCTGAGCTGATGAAGCCTTGCGGGATTCTGATCTAGACTCTTCCTTCCTGTGGGTCGCAACCCCTTTGGGGGTCAGATGACCCTTTTACAGGGGTCGCCCAACTCATAACAGTAGCAAAATTACAGTTATGAAGTAGCATTTCAAAAAGATCAGTAGCTTATCCCTTCTTGAGGCCATGCCTCTGGTTGAATTAAGTGTGCAATCTGGATTCAGAGTTCCAAAATAGTTGGTTCCAATTGCTTTTTCCAGTACAGTTGTTATTTTGGTGGAAAGATGAATCTCAAGAACTCCCGACGCTGCATTTTTTGCATAATTACATGGTACTTTTGAAAGTTCCAAATTTTGCAAGGCATTCTCATACCAACCATTCTTCTTCAGCCTCTTCGAAGCTGAATCTTTGCTTAGGTATGATTCAGCCCTACTAATTAATCCCATGTGATTAAGTATGGTACACTCTGCGTGTGTTGTGTCCTGTGGGAACATGGAGCCTGGCTAAATTGGGGGCCTTAACTCCTCAGTCCTTGAGGCAGCCTCCAAATAGATAGGAAGAGACGTGCAGTAGTCCTTTAAGAAGAGCAAAGGCTCTTCTACACAGTCCTGAGCTGGAGCCTATGCCCCTGTCTGGGGGTGTATGTGGTTCTCAGCTTTCTGCCAACACAGCAACCTCTGCTACTCCCTGCTACTACTGAGGGGAGGAGAGGGAGGGTGTCCACAGTAGTGGGGGGAACATTTTCCTAATATTTGATTTACATGACCTGAGTAAATTCGTTTCTGCCTTTGATTTATTTGGAAGACTACATCTTTTATTAGAGGACAGAAGTTAACTTTGTAGGCCAAGAATGTTTACATTTGGATTTTTCTTTTTCCAATCACCTTAAGCATGAAGCCCTCAATTATATTGTTTAAAATACTCATTTTATGGCATTGCTTAAGAACTATCACTTCTTCATTTATAAAATGAGTATTTCTCTGTAAAATAAGCATACTCTTCAAATTATGAGTACTGGTAGACAGGTTTTTAAAAGTTATGTACCAGAGTTGACTCAGTGAGCAGCAAGCTTGGGTTTGAGTCCACAAATTGCATATTAAATAATTCTGAGTACGTTGTTGGCTGCTGTCAAGTTGGTTCTGAGTCACAGCGACCCCATGTACAATGGAACAAAACATTGCCCCATCCTACGCCATCCTCTCAATTGATTGAATGCTTGGGCCTTATTACAGTCATTGGTAAAGTACAGGCATGTTCTATAGGAAGGACTTGACTTCTTAAAAACTGCTACACACCTCCCCCCACACACCCGGAGTGCAACAAAGCACAAGGGGAGCAAAAGCAATGAAGTCTCCGAGGAACCATGAAAATAGACTTAGGAATTGCTGGACAGGGTTTGCTACTTTACCAGACCTGATTGGAAAACATTCAGAAGGGTCAGCAGAAAGACCTGGAAGTATTTATAGCTTTTTTTAACCGCCTTCCTTTTATCTTTTTCTCATGTCTATCCAGATAAGATAGGCAGGATAATGACTCCTGAGGAGAAAATAATGGGGCCCGAGGGCTCCGGGGGGACATGGGAGAAAAGGAGGTGGGAGCTAAAAACTCAGGGACAAGGAAACCATAAAAGATCTAAAATCTATGGCGTGAAGGGTGTAAAATGCCTGGTGGGGTTTGATCAAGTGCAATGTAGCCAAGGGAAAGTACTGTGAGCCGAACGAAGGTCGAAGATGATAATGGGATAGGAGGAAAGTAAAAGGAAACAGGAAAGAACTAGGAGACAAAAGACATTTATAGAGGTACAAATATAGGCATACACATATGTAAATAATATGTAACAAAAGAGATATAGGTTTATGTACATATATTTAAATGTTAAGTATTAAGGTAGCAGATGGGCATTGGATCTCTACTCAAGTACTCCCTCAATGCAAGAACACTTTGTTCTAATAACTGGCATTCGTGATGGTCACCTTCCTGACACAATCACTGAAGTCAAAATGGGTGCACAAGCAAATGTAGTGAAGAAAGTTGAAGGTGCCTGGTTATTAAAAGATACAGTGTCTGGGGTCTTAAAGGCTTGAAGGTAAAGAAGCGGCCATCTAGAAGGGAAGCAACAAAGTCCACGTGGAAGAAGCACACCAGCCTGTGTGATCAAGAGGTGTCAATGGGATCAGGCATCAGAAGACCTAAACAAACAAATATATCCATATCCATGCAAATGATGGGGATTGAAGTGGAGCACCAATGCCCATGTGTAGACAATTGAACTTT